GAGTAGTTGTCATGATTGCCAGCATCAGTCAGTGGAATTGGTACATTATTAAACGTTTCGTCGGCATCATCCTTCAGTTTTGCCATTCTCCGCACCTGCTACGAACTCGTCAAAGAGACAAGTGAAGTCAATCCCTCGGAAAAAGTTCTGTCTCTTTTGACGAGTTTTTAGCTTGCTGGGGAGAATGGCGGCACTCACTGATGATGCCGATTACGATGTCGGCGAAACGTCTGAGAATGTACCAAGTCCACTGTCTGATGCTGGGAATCATGACAACTGCTATGGCAGACGACTTCGGACTGGGTGCATTCTACTAAGTCGCCCTGACAACAAGACCACATTGCGACAGCGAGGTCAACCCACTTCAAAAATTATCCGCGGAACATAAAATCAAAGTACATATGATCTATTTCGGGGATTCACATCAAAGTATGACTGCCTTTTGTGTATAAACATTTCCACAAAGTTGATTAACAACGCTAAGGCCTGCAGAAGAGAAGAGGGAGAGAAGAGCAAGATGGCCTCAACTCCGTTCCCGTCTTGGGGGCCAGTGTTTCACCGACCCGCCACTTTCAATGCCGGCCTCGAGTCGAAAGGAGAAACGAGCTGGCAACGCACCCTCTCACACCCCCTCCCCTAATGACCACTTTGAGATATGCTACTCGGCTTGGATGGCAGGCCTTCTGTGCTGTCGACCGGACGTAGTAGCGACGACAACTGCATGTGACTCGACAAGTGATGCCGAGTCCTGCTCGGTCCAGACTGTTGCTATCCTGTTTGATTGCCGTGGCAACATCAGTTCAGCTGACTGGTACATACATTCAAGTGCATTAGTTCTCATTTTGGGCAGCCTCACATTGTGCCCTTGTATTCTTCCAAGTCAATCGATATCGTTGTCTGAGCACAATTGATCTTTTACGCTTTATCAGCCCCAATCCATTTTTCTCCTACCCCCATTTCGTGTTTGTACTACAGACAAGGTCGTCACGGCTTCTCTGAACCGCGATGTTGCAAATTGTGGAAAACTTTCCTCTCTGGGACCCTCTTGCTCGTCTTCAGGCGGCAACAGGTCCCATTCGTTTGTGAATTTTGATGAACAAGCCGTAATTACGGTGGACAGAGTCGGTAGTTAAGCCTGTAATAGGCAATCCCTTTGTTGTCATGGCGCCTAAAGAGTGCTATTTGTTGTCTCTCGCTATGCCTATGCCCGAAGGGCATCGAGTAGACCGAGCTTGAGATGCGTACAAGTCGGTCGGTCGGTGTGAGGCAGTTGAAAATGTGGAAAAGGTGGTTCGAGGAAAAAACTCGACGATACCCATGGAGCCGGTCCCGTCTATGATCGCGGTCACTGTTGCCACGGCTTTCGCGCTGCTTCTGAGGGTGGGGTGAGTGCCCAGATCTGCAGAAACGGCCGTTGTGATCAGGGCGTAGGGTCCATTGACGAATACGCCGAGTAAAATGAGCCAGCCTGCAAAGAATTGACATAGGAAGCCAAATGACATGGAAATTCCCGAAAGAGAACGGTTGTAAAACAAAGAGGTAAAAGATGAAAAGGCAAAAAAAAGACAATATAATCACGAAATCCCTTTTAACGAAACTACTACCTTCCTCACGGCAGTAGTACAGGCATGCTTAATGGGAAATGCGAGTGAGTGGAAAGGGCTGAGCTTTGGTCCGTCATGCAATTCGACATGCATTCACAGAGCTGGAGCTCATTCTTTAAAAAGTCTACAAATGAATACAATGTATCCTGCTCTATCATGCATGCTGGATATACTCAGAACCAAATAGTTAAATTGAAATATAGATATTCCTATTCCATACTATTCAGAGTACTTACACTAGAGTACGTGTGTGTGCATATTAGCATCAGTACGCTCGTAAGAATCGGGAACTCACCTTCATATATATAGTTTTATTTATTTATTTATTTATTTATATATTTATCTATTTATTTATTATATATATATATATATTTATTTATTTATTTATTGTCTCCACGTTAAGCTGCATCTATTATAATTATTTCAAAATGTTGTTGTTTAAGTAGTGCTTTGAGTAGTACTTTGAGTGGCATTATCGTTTCGATTGCTGCCCCCCTGCAGCGGTGTCAACTACAGTTACTTCAACTTTTTCCCTGGCGATCTTGCCTTCTATGCGAAGTGTGGGTGTCCTCGAGACAACGGGCGGTTATTCCCACATTTCAGTCTCACTCAAAGTCTCTCCAATCAGAACTAGTGTGCGTGTGTTGAACAAGGACTTAGCCAACAAAAGTACTAACCTACACAAACACGGGTGTTGGGATGTCTGTTCCCATGCTACTAGCCATGTTTTCACGGAGCCTACATCATAATTGTGTGCTGAAGATCGGTATACTCAAAAGTGTAATCATAGGAAGCCAAGAACTGACCGATATGAATTTCTGGGAGGATAAACTGGGCAAGCTGCCTCGGGCATTGGAAGCGGATATGCCAAAGACATAATACAAGAAAACGTAAGGGTGGTGATGAGCAGGTGGAAGGATGGGAATTATGAAAGAAAAATAAGGGAGGCTTTGGGGCAGCAGCCGCTGCCAATGAAACAGAATATTTAGGCCCTCTTCACAAGTTTACTTACGGAGGTGTGAAATGTGCTGCGGTGTGAGGAGAGCCGAGCTCAACGTATAACTTGGGCAAAATCAATCCTGGACATGAAATGCCCCAGTCAACTCATGACTTTTATCGGTTTGTAGGTGTACATATCACAGATTCCATTTCTGACAATACAGGCCCGGACCGTCCTTTCATGACGCAATTTGCGGCGACCTCAGCCGCCGGGACGGAGACCAACCAACCTCCAACCCATCTGTCGAATGCATTTCCACCCGTTGCAGGTTAGCAGACTACCGAGCTACATTCTCTTAGGATAGGCTATAGAGGCTTGTATGCGGAATAGGACAAATATGATTATCATAATGCAATT